GCTTGAGTGCTACTAGGTTTCCGAGTTCTCGAATCTCAACTCCCGAGCTGCACTTTTTGCCGCATGCAACACGTGGACCACATGGCCCACGTGGTCACATTTGATTGGCTCGCAACAAATACCACTGCCAGGCGCAGGCCCATGAACGAGCTGCAGCACCGTTCTCCAAGTTGTCAGCACTGGCGGCGCTAGCTTTGCATATGAGCATATCCCACCTACCTTAAGTATGCTCTTCTCTAAACTCGCATGGCGCTTCAATTACTAGAAGAAGAGCTTGGTGCCGTTGGTGGTGACTTTGTAGGTGCCTAGCTTTTTTCATAAATGACAAGTCAAAATATGGTCTGTCGTGAGTTGAGGGGCACTTGAAAGGGGGAGTGTGTTCGGCTGATAAAGAGTTTTTAGTCACATGGAGGTGAGGAGATTCTGTCAAAGGGGCCACGTCAATTGTCATTTTTGCTCTTTGCAATGCTTGAATGTCCAGACTCCAGGTCTGCATTTGCTGAATCAGTACACTGCATTATGCTCTAATCTACAAATGTTACACATTTCTGCGTGACTATACAATCCTTCCCTTCTTGCACTTCATGGCCATCAGCTGCTCCCCTGTTTGTCTCCCTTCGTTTGGCACCAGCTTCAAACAGGATCTGGCAGCTTCAGAATGCAGGAGCAACAAACAGAAAGACAGGATCTCATAGCGCTGAAGGGTCTGCAAAATGGGTCCAATTCTCCTTCTCTGCCAGGCATCACCGCCAGATGGCTCCCATTCATTGGCCCACTCCCTCTGGCGCACTCGCTGGGACACCTTCAAGCGGAAGGCGTTCCGCAGCGACATGCTTCTCTACTGGACGCTCCTGGGTGTTGCTTTTGGGGCAGTGGTGGGGGGTATGGTGACCTGGCTACACCCGTCGGAGCGAGTGACTGAGCTCATTGGTCAGTTCTTGGGGCAAAGTCTCGGCTGTACGGAAAGTCTTTGGATCTGGTTGTCATGAGCGTTTGAGTGGATTTTGAGATTGTACTTTAGTCGGGTGGGCCTCCCTAAACCCAATTAGGGAGGCCCACCGCCATATCAGACTTGAAAAAGAAACATGAGAGAAACATGTTCTGGGAGCAAATTCCTGCGATGTATCAAGATGCTCGTCACAACTGGCCATGAGACTTATGCATCGATGATGACTCTAAGAGTGAAAGATGTGTAGAGACTGTTCATACTTATGTACTGCAACAGAGGTTTAGCAACCTCTCAACTTTGGGGCCTTCGCGATCAGGCAATTTCCAGATATACACAATTGACAACAATGCACTGGCAAACAGTTTCCAAGGCTTTCTCCATCCTGACCCCAGGTTATCCTGGAGAGCTGCTGATGCGAGCGCTGCGTGAGTTGGTGCTTCCGCTAGTCGCTCTGGCGCTGATGACTGGGGTGCTCAACCTCCGACACACCACCACAGGGTGAGCGCTCTGGGACCCGTTCCTCAAGTCCCTGTTTGGAACATGCAACTAATGTCCTGTTCTTGCCTGTCTAATACATCAATCATCTTGACTTCTGTCAGTCGATAGCCAGTTCATAGAAGACGCCTAGTGGCCAACCATGCGTCGCCCTGATCAGGCTCCAACATAACTCTTTGAAGCCTGCAACAAAGATTCCGTATGCACGGGCCCGAATGGTAAGACGAGAGTTTTATGGCACTGCGCCAAGCTAAACATGTTGTTCCGTGCGCATTCACTTTTCGGATACTATTGAATAGATTCCGTCAAAATCTCTTCAGTGCTTTAGAAGAAGATGTAAGCCAGGCCTCTCCTCCCCTGGGCACCTAATCAGAAAAACTTTGTCCCTCCACCAATTCAAAGCATGCAAAACAAAACCAATTTCATTCGCCCCTCCTACAAGTCCGGCAGTAACCCAAGCCAGTCTCACAAAAACTCGCATTTCATATCAATCTACAGCTTCTCACCTTTCGTCGCACTCATTCGGCCTCACAGGAGCAGCCGCATCGCGCAGTGGGCGATGCAGTTCTACCTTCTGTCCATGCTGCTCGCTGTCGCCCTGGGGATAGGGCTTATTTACACCATCCGTCCTGGCCGGGGTCAGCCCCTCGCCAAGATGGCGCACAAAACCGAGTGTGGGAATGGGACCGGGAACAGTGTGCAAGGGGGCAGGTAAGCACCCGGGGGCAGTATTTCATTTCGGACGTGGAGCCATGTGTTCGGAAGACAGCACTCACAATCAACACCATGCGAAGGAGAGGAAGCTGCATGGAATACTGACGCTGACTCCAAGAAGCCGCCACTTACTGTTGCTCAAATGGAGGGAAGTAGCAACCGCCGCTGCGTAAAACTCGGAGCCTCGTTGAGGAGTGCTTCCCTACCGTAAAGATGTGTCTCCGGGAGAAGCATTCCCAAAGTCTCTCGAGTCAGTGCTCAAACGAGCCGCACATAGTGGTTAAGAAGATATCAGCACTAGAGAATTTTGAGGTTAACGAAGCTTTGTGAACGTTTGAATGTATGGCTCTAACATTCCTTTCTGAATGTTCAATCTTCGAATGTTGGGTGTTTGACGATCTTCACGGGTAGTTAGCCTATGTTCATCTGCGACTGGAGCCCAACGTGTGATGCGGCAGTGAGCAAACTCCAGGGCTGTGCAGAAGCTGACGTCACTTTCGCTCATGTTAACGTCACCAGGCCGGCGGCGAGCGGCGACCTGGTGGAGGCGCTGCTCAACATCGGGCGCGACCTGGTGCCCACCAATATCGTGCAGGCCGCCGCGGACGCCAACTTCTTGGGCGTCATTGCCATCTCCATCTTTTTCGGCTCCGTCCTCGCTTCCATGGGTATGTTCAAAGCAGGCGTTTTTCGCTTCACAGTATGTCTCGGGTTACACGCTCTCCTGCCCAGTCAAATCATGGAAAGACAATTCGTGTTGTTGTGGGTACTTGGGAAGACAATTGGGGTAGATTATTGGGCCTCATCCCCATCTTCGTCTTTTCCGCCGTCGTCCTCGCTTATATGAGTATGGTGTGCCAAGCACTTCCTTTCACGCATCTACGGTGGCATGGAAACAAATTCCAGGGTTCAGGATTTTGAAAGAACTTGGACCCCGAGTCTGTAGTCACCATACTTTTTAGGGCTTTGTTCTAGGCGTCCAGGAGGGCTTTTTGATCTTCGAACCGGCCAGTTCTTTGCTGTTTCCTCGTTTCAGGATTTTCAAGCCTAAAAAAGATCCTCGTTCTTTCCTTGATTCTGCCTTTCAGTATAATTGTACTCCTGACCTTATGTCTGTCTGGCCGGTGAATGGGTACGTGTCTCGTGATTTAGGCCTTGGAGGCTAAGACAACACTGCAACGTGGATGCCATCGCAAGTTCCGCTTGCTTGGTTGTGGTTGCGCCCTTTCGGACGTCTCCAAATCCCAGAAGTTTTCTGCTGCTCTTTTCGACGATTCATCCCGCCGAAGCCAGAGTCTCGGACCTAGGGTGTGCTCTTGAGCCGGTCGGTCGTCAGCAGCGGCAGATTGGATACGTCAAACAGCAGCAATTATCGCTCAGATAGGCCAGAGCAGGTTTGTCTCGTTTTTCTTTCCGATTCGGTCGAGGGTTAGCTACGATCGGTTACTGCGATATTCAGGACCATTGCGGACTAACAGTATTAGTTGTCTGTTCTTGCAGGGGAAGAGGCGGAGCCGCTTATTCACAACATTGAGATTGCCAACAAGGCCGTCATTAACATGGTGAGGGCCCACTCGCAACTCGACCGCTAGGCGTGTTGCCAAGATCTTCTTAAGACAAATTCAAGGCTTGGCCGTGAGCAACTAACCCCTGAGTTACTCGTCGCTTACAACGTATGCACCGAACTTTGCGGACGTCCATCGACGCACCCACGTCAACGCACCTGTTTGCGCTCTCCAGCCATTTGCAGATCATCGGCGTCGTCACGAATTGAGAGTCAATCTTCCGCCAGTTCGGCCGGCACGTCTTGCGCAACACTGCGTTCATATGAGCAATTCGTCTTCGCAGTACAGAGTATGATACCTCTTACTACCGCTTCCAGTCGAGGGTCGGCCCGCAACCTGCTTCTTCCGACATTCAACCAACCTCATAACGTCTGGGAAAGCAAAGCAGTAAAACGTATTTAGATTGACACCACCATCTCTTGCAGATTCTGCACGTGGTCTGGCTTACGCCTATTGGTGTCAGCTCCCTGGTAGCGGGCTCCATCCTGCGCGCCTGCGACCTGGTGCTGCTGCTTAAGAGCCTGGCCCTCTACGTCATCACCATCCTGACCGGCTTCGGGCTTCATTGTTTCGTTGTTCTGCCCGCATTATTGTACCTGTATACCCGGAAGGACCCGTTCAAAGCGGCACGGTAGGTCAACCCCAGCTTGAATTGCTGCCGTGTTTTCTTTGGAAAATGACTTGGAAGTTGTGACCATAATGTCCGGCTTTGGACTTCATTGCTGCGTCGTTCTGCCTGCGCTTCTCTACCGGTATTCCCGGAAGGACCCGCTTAAAGCGGCAAGGTTGGTCTGCTTTAACCCTTTCCTCAATTGCCGCCAAGTGGCCAATGAGTTACTTGGACGTCATGATCATTCTGATTGGCTTTGCGCTCCATTGCTTAATCGTCCTGCCCGCGCGTCTCCCTTGCATTTTCGGAAGGACTCATTTAAAGCGGCACGGTCGTTTTCGCTGCCCTCCTTGCGGTTCTCTTCGGGAAGAGGCTGACAAGCGCACGGGCGCTGGTTTTACGCGCACCCTTTTGGCTCCATCCTTGATTGTCTTGAAGGCCTTAGTTCGTTTTGCCCGTGTAATGTAGGGATTTCCAATTCGGCTGACGCACTCGTATGCTCTTTCTGTGAAAGTTAACCTACTCGAAAGATAGCCCGTACTCAGAAGGGAAGGGGAAGCGTTATGAGTCCGTTCCTAAAGTGTGCTTTGCCGGCTGCGTATCCACCGCACTTGACGGTTGTGGAGAAGTCCCCTGCAACGGCCGAGCGTGAATTGATCTGCGCTCTTATCTCCGCCAACCTGGTGTCAAACCGTTTGTGGATTTTGGCGGTCGTTTCTTTCACCTTAGCAGCGGGCTTCAGCACGGCCTTAACCAAGCCCTTGAACCCGAAGGCTGCAATCCTCAAAATTTAAAATAGTGACTTCTTCCGCTCCTCTGCAGGTCTTCTTCCATGCGTTCGCCGTGAATTACGGCGCGCCTTTAAGCGAGCCCTTGAGTCTGACAGCTGTAATCACAGAATCCCGAGACCCTGTAGAGCGAAGTCTTTCAGGGGTTCGCAGTTCGCTGTTTCCGGTGTTCGCCCGGAGGGCTTCGATAGCAATCTTATCTCCCACCGCTTCTACAGTCCCAGAATCCTTAATGCTCTCAATCCTGAAACCCCAAGATTCTGACGACTCAACTCTCAAGCTTTGAAAACCCTTAGTATAGCTTCTGCTATTCTACAGGCCGTAATTCGCCGTGGGCTTCGGCACGGCCCCAATCTGATTGTTGCATCCAACCGCCACATACCCAGAATGTTGAAACCCTTGTGCTTGAAAGATGCTCGACTTCATAAACGACATCTCCTGCTACTCTGCAGGTCGTTCTTCCCCGCGTTCGCCATGGGCTTCGGCACGGCCTCGAGCGCGGCCACGATGCCCGTCACCATGCAGTGCGCGGTGGACCACGGCTGCCGCGAGTCCGTTGTCAACTTTGTCATCCCCCTCGGAACCAGCGTCAACAGGTGCGGGACCGCAAAACCCGAGCAGTTTCAAAGATTCTATGATATCCAATCTTTTTGTTGGGGCTCTTCTTGTCGTGAAGTGCTGCTTGTTGGAGACGCGAATTGGTGTTGTCTTCGTGAGGCAGAGTTGCTTAAGTTTTCTCCTCAAAGAGGGGATTCGATCGCGTCTGGAGCAGGCTTGAGTCCATTGAAAGTGCTCTGTCAGCGAGACTAATGTTTGAGCCACAATACTCTATTTTGCAGAGATGGAGCAGCACTGTACGAAGCGGCGTCGGTCCTCTTCATAGCTCAGGTGCGTGCTGTCTTCCCTAAGCCGCCAGCTTGCACCCATATTTTTCAGAGGTTTCCCTGCAAGAATGCGTGGAAAGATCGAGTGAGCTTTAAGTTCTGGATGGTTGCGTTTCTGTTGCACAAATCACCAGGATTGAAAGCTGACTAAGATTGCTTGCGCGCAGCATGACCTTTATTGCAGCCCAAACTTCCTGCTTCGCTGGTTCCCGTCGTGCTTGAGATTCCAGAGCCTCTCTTGCTGGCCACGGGCTAGACCCCTCAGCAGGCAGGATTGACAGGCACTTTCTGGACGTTGTGTTGATACGAATTTCCAGACAAAACCTTTGGCCGCCTTCTCTGCGCGAGCAGCGTGGTCTTCCTCTGTTCTTCTTTTGATGGTCTTTTGTGTGCGACACTTTTGCAGGCCCACGGGATGAATCTTTCCGCGGGCAGCGTTGTCCTTATCGCGATCACCAGCACCCTGGCAGCGGTCGGGGCGGCGTCGGTGCCAATGTCTGCGCTCGTGACCATGATTACGGTTCTCCAGGTAAGAGGCGCAAGATTCCCTCATGAATTCAAGGGCTTGAACATGGGCTTTACTGTTTGTCAAGACTCGTTCTGTGACTACTCAGAGAAGGGAAACAAACTCCAAAAGTGCCATTTTTAAACCACCAAATCATGTGTTGAGCTCGAAGTAGAAATGCGAAACGGGAATGGAAGTTTGCTCAGGTTGGAAGGCGTCGACACGGTTGCGCTGTGTGCGTCGGTGACCATGACTACGGTCATCAAGGCAAGAGCGCAGGACTTGTGGTGTTCGGATATAGGACACGAGTTCGCTTTTCAGAACTTTCAAAGCTTTCCCTTCGAGCACAGTCAAAAAGAACTAGGTCCTCCTTCATGACACGCTGCATACGCATGCTTCCATTATAAAAATAGCAACGAACATTATTGAGGTCAAACATAACCACCAATTGCTTTCGGGATTCGACTCCAAGTCAGAGTGGGCAGGCCGCAGAAAGATCGAACTTGAAACTAGTGTCAGTAACTATCCAAGTTTCTCATCCGCTGCTAAGAGCCCATGCACGGTGACCGTGCAGGCTGTGAGCCTGGAGCAGTTCGTGGGCGACGTGTCCATTCTCCTGGCCGTTGATTGGTGCCTAGGCATGTTTCGGACGGTCACCAATATCTGGGGCGATAGCGTGGCCGCCCTCTGCGTTGACCACCTTTCGAGGCAGCATGAAGCTACTGAACATAAGAGAAGGGCGTCCAAAGCAGACGGGATGCCGGAAGAGGAGATAGGGCTAGTGGGTCAGGATTGGGCACCTGAAGGGATTGCAAGTCAGAGCGTGTTTCCGCGTCCGCTGTCGCCGATCAGGTGTCTTACAAGGTAGAAGAAGCGTTAAGGGCGTTGAAAGCTTGACACGTATTGTCGGAAGAGTTTTTTCAAAACGAACACTGTATATGTAGATAGGACTTGTGTTGTTGCTGCTTTTGTATTGCCGACTTGCGGCAAAATGGGCTATTGTAACAACATTCGTAGGCTAAGTGACTCTATTAAAGGTGCAACCCGGTACCTCTGAAATGGCCTTGAAAAGCCTACACAGTCACGCACGCAATTCGCAATGTACCATGCCGAGGTTTAAGGATTTGCCAGATAGCATCAACCCTACAGCAGCCATGTCAGCATGGTATTTGTGGTTTTCAAAGCGTGCAGGCAAAATTTTATCGGGTGTTATCTATTACGCTTGGACTGGCGGATCCCACGAAGTGCAGCTGCAATAATTTCAGCGCGCCCCACTGGTCTGCGTGCGTCGCATCAGTAGATAATACATGGCATGACTGCCCTACTATTGGAATGGCCGCTTAGCTAGACGGCAAGCACGGCTAGCTGACGAAGGACCGTCCGCGGCCGTTGCATGCATGCTGCAACTTATCGTGCATCACGCAATTCGACACGAGTGCACCTCATTATCTAATCAGGTTGACGTATGTCCGCACAAAGACGTAGGCTTCTTCGCTTTTTGGTACGTGAGCTAGCGCAGAGCATGGGGTCCTGACCCACAACGCGGGAAATCATCTGCCCATGTGACGTGTCCTGTTGTAGCATATTGAACTTAGCTACTGAAACCTCAACGCTAGCAACTGGACGTAAAGGGTGCTTTCAACTTGACGTAAAGGGTGTAAGAACGTGGGCGGCCGCCTTCGCTAACTAAACATGGCCGCCTGCCTGCGCTCAAAGAGTCTGGTCATCTGGCACCCGCCAGTACGACAAGGTTCGGCCGAAGTTTCTAAATGGGCACATGTGATCGTATGCGATCGTTTTCGTCCGTAGGATGATTGGTAGGTCAAGTCAACCGTCCATTTGCGACGCCGGGGCCCTGAGACGCCCGCGCATGAATTTGCAATTGTTCGGAAGAAGGCCAGCGTCGACGAGCATGACGCAAATGCTGTGCAGTTCAGGTGACCTACCTACTTCTAAGCCCAAGCACACTTTACGCCGCGGCCCCAGCTCTGACACTTTCACAGTTGTACCTTCAAAGTACGTTCGGTGAAGTGCATCCTTTGCGCGCCTTAAGTCCGTCGGATGACCCACCAACCGTTCTTGAACCGTCGGATACCCGAATTGCAACATCAGGTACCTGGAAGTCATCAAGTCGACTACGTACACTACTAGACTTTCATGAAGTAGGTAGGGCTCAGGAGTGAGGGCTTCCGGATCCTTGCCCTAGACATTTTTGCGGAATGGCATCACGGAAATCTCAGGCTCATCAACGCGGCCTCCTACAAATTGGGCCGCCTCCTGCAGCTAGTCACCCTCAACAGCAACAAGGGGGCACCGTCAGAATCATTGAATCGCAGAATGCTGTATGCAGGTATACGAACCAGAAAGGGTGGACTCCAGCTTTGCGGCATTGTGCTCAGATATGCTCTAGCTGTTTCTCGCTTCGCTTTAGCCCGCGGATGGCAACGCTCAGTTAGTCTGCCTGGGATTATTGGTTAATTGGAGAGTGTCTGGATGTCTCCGGTCAGCATGAAGAGCCCTGTTGTTGAGGAGTCAACGTGAGCATAGCCTGCAGAATGGAAGCATCTTTCAGTCTAGCGATGGAGGTTCTTTCGGCTTACAGGCTGCTATGGCAGTCACCCTGCATTTTGCTTAGGCAATGCATGAGAGCAGCTAGACTGAGGAGCTCTTACAGCTCAGTCAGAGCTCAGAGCTCAAGCTCTTGCAGGTCCCAGCTCGTGGTAGATAAGCATTCCTGCAGCATTTGTCAAACCAATTCGTTTAGGAAGTGGCAGCATTTCAGAAGAAAGACAGGAGAGCAAGAGAAGGCTCTGCGCTGCTGGCCGCATCACTCTCTGCCACAGCTCGTTGACAAGGGAAGCAACCACAAACAACGGTCATTGCTAGCACAAGCAGAGTTGCCGTCTTTTCCTCCCTGCATCAACTTCAGCATTGCTGTCAACCTGGTCGCAGCATTCAAGTCAGAGCTCAGGTTGTTGGTTCCTGGCTTCATAGAAGCCAACAAATCCCGCTGTATTTTGCGAAGCATTTTGGAGCAGGAACAAAGCACGCAGCGGCTAACAGAGCCGCAATGGCTCGAGCTATGAGATTGGTCCTGGGACTGCTTCTGGTGACAGCTCTGACGAGCTCAGGTAAGCATTGCTATTGCTGGCTTGAGTATGTCTCCTTGGTGTCTGCATGCATGCAATTAGGACCATTATGATCCCTTGACTCTTGCTCGGACTCTAGTTCAAGCTCTTCAAGCAGCTGTGCATCTCAAGTTTCCCCAGTTCATCTAGCTACTTGTGCACCTCATAAATGCTAAAAAAGTGATTTCCTGCTCTTTGCAGTGAGCGCTCGGAGGATGCCTCTAAGTGGCCCGAAGCCCTTGGTGAAGCGATCAATGCTGGGTAAGTCCACCAAAGTCCACCACCAAAGTCATAGCTGACTGGATGACTTTCCGCAAGAATGTTTGGGATGGAGACCAAGAGGTGTGTCCGAAGCTTGTCAATGCAGAGGAAAGAGCTATGTCAAAGAAACGCGCTTGAAGTGGTGTTTGTAGCATGGCTAGTCTAAGTTACAGTAGATTTCCGCTTGCGTTATACCTTCAAGAGAATCTTTGAAAGGGTCAAGAAGACAAAAGCAGGTGATTGAGACTTCTGCATGTTTTGGTGGCAGATGACCCTGCTGCCGCTGACGCTCCCTATGCCGCAACCACCTGGTGCGCCACCTTGGACTGCCTCGTGACAGCCATGACCGCAGCACAGGTAAGAAGATGCATGTCTCGCAATTCGCTCAACAGATTCCGACTGAGAACGGATCCAGTGTTGTTGTCTCTTCCTCTTGCGGTCCTGCTCGTTAGCGAGTCAGTTCTTTGACTTTGGCATGCACATGGCCAGGAACAGAGTAGCTACGTAGGAACAGAGCTCATTTTACTATAACAGGAATAGATGGTCTTTGAAGAGTGAAGTCTTTGATTATCATCTCTTCCCTCCAGGCGCGGTGACCATGTTCAACCAGCCCCTGATACAAACCCTTAACTTTCTTGTTCGATCGACGAGCTCGGATGGAGACATCTGCATTGCCAGCTGCGTCAAAAGCACGAGCTCGGCTACCAAAGTTGACCCCAGAACAGCCACCTGAACCCAGCCTTAACCTCAACCTCCTTCTGCAGGGCCAAAACAACAGCATGATCGTGGTTACTGACAACATCGACCTGAACGGCCAGCCCCTCCCCGCCGTTGTTAACAAGCTGGAGGTTATGGGGAACTGCCCTGACGGCTGCTGCTGGATCGACGCGCACGACCAGAGCCAGATCTTTGTGGTGTCTAGCACGGGCCTGTTCACATCGCACATGCTGGATATGCGCCACGGAAAGGCTGCTGGCTGCGGAGGAGCCGTCTGGGTGTCCCAGGGGGGGCGCGCCGGCTTCTTCGGCTCCAAGTTCAAGAACAACACCGCAGCTGTAAGTGGCTTGATGAAATCTCTTGATCAATCTTCGTACTGAATATGAAACTGCAAATCAACGAGCTAAATCATGCTTCGAGCTTTCATCTGAGGTGTCAGCTAAGACCTTTGAAGCTCACAGGATGAGCTCCACATTAAATTTGCAGGCCTCTTCGACGTACCCCTCTCCACTTAGGGCCAAATTGAGTGCTTCAGCCACAGCTGTTCAGCTGAACCATGAATTCTAAGCATGAAATAGCTGCAACTGAGATAGCTAGCTTCAGCGCTGCAACTATTCATAGAAAAGATTCTCGGAATTAGAAGATTGAGTCCTTTGTACGCGGCAAAACTCTGTATACCCAGCCAGAACGATCCAACTCTTTATGTCGCAAACAAGAACTGTGAATGAACCAGCTCTGCTAAAACTGATTGCCGAGACTGAAGAGCATGTCCACCGTGCTGCAGATGGGAGCCGCCGTCTGCTTCGACAAGGGCGCCAGGGGCTTCTTCAAGCAGGGCAGCTTCAAGGACAATGTGGCTTCCGTTTCCGGCGGAGCCGTGTTTGAGGACCAGAACGTGTGCGTAACTTATGTTGAGACCAACTTCGCGAGCAACAAGGCCGCCAACGGAGGCGCCATCGCGGTCAGCAGCGACAGCTCCGCTGACGTTCAGTACAGTCTCTTCACCGCCAACTCCGCGACGGTGAGTCCCTCGAGCCTTTCGTAACGCTCTAGAGCATCTTATCCGATATTTTCCTGGCGTCTGCACTTCATTAGTTCTTCTTTACAGCACGACTTTGCCCGGGTCCTGTCCGCTGTCTCGCTCGAGCACTGCAGGTTCCTCTACAAAGCACGTTAGCGCAGAGTCGAAAAAGCTAAAAGCACAGGTACTTCGCCCGCCGGATGGCAGCAGAAGTGCTCACATGTGCCAACATCTTTTCCGTCTGCAGACCCGGGGAGGAGCTATCGACGCCGCTACAGGGTCCACCATTAGCGTCACCAACACGCAGTTCACCGGTTCCAACGCTCCCGTGAGTACCTGTGAATCTGCAAACCTTTCTTCATTAATAAAGTCGACTTCTTTGTTGATGAAGAAAGCATTTGAACTCGCACCCTGACGTTCAGCATGATCGAAAGCAATTGATCCGGCAACCTCACGTTCAGCATGATCGAAGTGTTGATTAGCAGTGCTTTCGAGTTCTCCCGTCACAAGATCATTATCCTTCTCTTCCTCCTGCTTATTTCTACTTGTCTTCTTGGGAGGACGCCTCAGCTGCTACCTGTGCACATGCTCGGAAGCTGGTGCAAAGCCGTATCTTTTTCCTCAGCTGCTTTGAGCGAAGCCTCATCTTTCCTTTCTGATCAAAGCTTGATCAACTGCAACTCGTGATGTGCAGAACGGAGCTGATGCTAGCCTGGCCACTGGGGTCGCCAACTCCTTCATCAAGAACACGTACTCTGCTCCCGGATCCGTTGTCAACGGCAACATCTGCACCACTGGCGGCGGTGAGCCTTCTTTTAAAATCACCAAGTTGGGGTGCCAAGCTAAGTCCTGAGTTGAGCGAATGCAAGCGAGTGCGAGGATGTTCGTATATAAAAAAAAGGTGGTCGAACAATAATTGTCTGCGTTTTAGAGTTATCAATTGACACGGTGTCAGTTTTTGAGGTCGGATCGTCTCAAGCTTAGATTCATTTCTCAGTTCGCCGCCTTTACATCCGTATCCACGCGTATTATATCGGTTCTCACGCGCCCCGTTCCCGCTCTCCGCAGGTGCTTGCACGGTTCAGGCCCCCCTCTGCAGCTGGATCCCCAACGACTGCCAGATGCCCCTGATGCCCTTCCCGGTGCCGTCTCCCTCCCCCTCCCCCCAGCCATCCCCGTCCGCCTCTCCAATCCCCTCTCCTTCCGCTTCCCCTATCCCCTCCCCTTCAAGCTCCCCCACCCCCCCCTCTCCCTCACCTTCCAGCTCTCCCGTTCCCCCTCCCCCTCTCCTTCCACGCTCTCCAATCCCCCCTCTCCGTCGCCGTCAAGCTCTCCCGTCCCCCCTCCCCCTCCTCCTTCCAGCTCCCCACTCCCCCCTCTCCTTCTCCTTCTAGCTCCCCCTGCCTTCTCCTTCCGCCTCCCCGTCCCTCCCTTCCAGCTCTCCATCCCCTTCCC